ATGGCAGCGCACGGGGGACAGGGTGCGCGATGGCATCAGGGGTGGCAGCACACAGGGGGTGCGGGGGCACGATGGCACCGGGGATGGCAGCAGACGGGGGACACGGGGCACAATGGCACCAGGGATGACAGCACACAGGGGGTGTGGGGCATGATGGCACCGGGGATGGCAGCAGACGGGGGACACGGGGCACGATGGCACTGGGGATGGCAGCACACGGGGCACGATGGCACTGGGGATGGCAGCAGACGGAGGACACAATGGCACCAGGGATGGCAGCACACGGGGGACACGGGGCACCGGGGATGGCAGCACACGGGAATAGCAGCACACGGTGGACACTGGGCACCGGGGATGGCTGCACACAGGGGACACAGGACACAACGGCAACGGGGATGGCAGCACACGGGGGACACGGGGCACCGGGGATGGCAGCACACGGGGGACACTGCACGCAGGGAACACAGGGCATTGGGGATGGCAGCACATAAGGGACTCAGGACACACAGGGGACACGGGACACAATGGCACCAGAGCTGGCAGCAGACAAGGGACACTGCACACAGGGCACACATAACACCAGGGATGGCAGCACACAGGGGACACAGGGCACCCAGGATGGCTGCACACAGGGGACATAGGACACAATGGCACCAGGGGTGGCCATGCACAGGGCACCAGGGATGGCAGCACACAGGGGACACAGGACACCAGGGATATGGTACCCTGCACACCCAGCACCAGGCACACAAGGCCTCAACTGTGCCAGCATCCAGAACACCAGGGACTCTGGGGATGGCAGCACAGTGGACACTGGGCACACAGAGGAGCAGGCATATGGGGCACCGGTGGCTTAAGGGACACATGGCACAGGGGCGAGGGCAGCACTCAGGGGACAAGGGCCATAGCAGGGAGAGGGGTGCTCAGGACACTGGGCACACAGTGTGGCAGGCATGGGGAAAGGTGGTACAAGGGACACGGGGCACCAGGGATGGCAGCGCACAGCACACCATGCACAAGGAGCCCCAGGCACGTTGGCGCAGGGGACACGGCGCACGCAGCCAGCATCATGCACACCAGCTATCCCAAGACCGAGCGCAGGGCACGTGCCACACACCAGGCATGACAAAACACCAGGGCAAGAGCCACCATGCACAGCAGGCACCACGTGCATCAACCCCGGTGCCGTGCGTGCCAACACGCTTGCATAGCCCAGCACACAGCAGGCACGAGCCCCAGGCGTACCCGCACCAGGCACCGTGTGCACAGGGCACCGCTCAGCACCAGGCTCCCCTGGGCACCTGCACGTCTTCACGGGGCACATCTGACACAGGACGCTGTGCGCAGCCAGGAAAGCCGGCACCGGAGACATCATCACTTGGCTGTTGCGTACTGCCCAGGCTGGGCGCCGCTGCGGCTTTGTCCGGTGCTTGCAGCGCAACCCGTTTGCTCAGTGTTGGCTACTTGTGCCCAGACCTTGGACTCCGGCACTGCGGCGCACCGCGTGTGCCAACAGTTAGAAATACCGCCTGCCTCCCCTTTCCACAGGCCACGCTCAGCATGGCCCTGGCCCCTAATGAACCAAACGATCAACTGAAGTGACCTGTGCGGGATTATCAAGAGCAGCAAGGGGAAATTAGGGAGGAAATTCAGCCCCAAACCAGCAATGGTGAATGCTTCCTGGTGATTCATCCTTTTTTTTTTTTTTTTTTGGTAAAGACTGACTGGGGTCTCTGCCTTGGGAAAGGTGGGCGCAAACACCCTCAGCACAGGCTACTTGGACAGGATGCCGCTCAGACCTTCATTCCAACTCAGAAATGCAGGTCACCTCTGTCTCAAGGCCTTTCCTTTTATGAAGGGAACAAGGAAGGGAAATATCCCAAAGTCTCACAACAAATCACTCTGGAGAAGTTGGACTTGGCAGAGAAAAACATCATCCAACCTGCGCTCCCAATCTTGGATCTTTATTAGTTACAAGTTTCAGAGGGGATACAGTTTTGCTCCTAGATCTTGTTGAAAGCAGCAATGTCAACGCTCTGCACCTGAAAGAGAACAAAAGCAGCAGCTAGAGGTTACCAAGGCGTTTTCAGACATTTAAAATGGAGAAAGCACACACATCAGGGGATTTCTTCGCAGCATGCACTAGCAATGCTCAAACCGATCGAGCATGGCCCAGGTCTCTTAGGCCAGCTCGTTGGCTGTGGTAAGAGGATCTTTAAGGACCATTATTTAATATTCCTAGCAACATCAGTCACAACAGGACACTGCACTGTGCTAGTTACTGCACAAATCTTTTGGACAGTCCAGCCTACCAAGAACATCGTATTAAGAGTTTCTAGCAACATTGAGATTAAAGTTCCCGATTTACTCTAAATATAAGCAAAAGAGTAGGTAAAGATGACCAATAAAAACAGGTATCTGGCCTGCTGCTCTCCTGCACCACCACACAGTGGTTCCTTAAAGTTAAGAAGTCGGTGGAGGCTGGATGAGCAGCAAGAGCCCGCAAAATGGCTCTGCAAAATATCTGCATCAGCCAGTCTTAAAAAAAAATATATTTAAACATACAAGTGTCTCAGCAGGCAGACACCATCAATTCCATGTGGTTTTCTTTTAAAAATCCAAGTCTGCCAAAATCTTTGAATGAACCTTAGTTAAAAATGACCCCGCACAGGTCAGGCATCACCCAGCATTACACAGCTCACTGAAGAGACTTACGTAGTCTTCGAACTTGGTGATCTCCTCCTCCAGGATGTCTGTCCCAACTTTGTCATCCTCCACTACGCACTGGATTTGGAGTTTCTTAATGCCATAGCCTACTGGGACCAGCTTGGAGGCTCCCCACACCAACCCATCCATGTGAATGGACCGGACACACTCCTCCATCTTCGCCATGTCAGTCTCATCATCCCACTGGAAAAAATGTAAAGTATAAACTTTAGCATTTTCCTAGAAACTACCGTTAGCCCCAAGAGGTATCCAGTGACTTCAAATTCAATACTGCTCCTCTCAGTACATTTCAGCTGATCCAAGCTGCCCTTTCTTGGCCACTATTTTCACCAGAATTAGCTGATGGGTTGGCCAAGCTAAATCTGACTTTGCAGCAACACTGCACAGCACGTTGTTTCGATTCTACCCACAGGCACTGCAGATGCAAGGGCGATTCTTCCTGCGGCAACACAACCACTTTGGAGTGTTCGCTTTAAAGCGACTTTTACCAAGGGCATCTCTCGGAGCACTAGCCAGCCCAGAGTTCTTGTTCTACCATACCAATTTGACAAAGACAGGTTTATTCCTATCTTTAGGGCATTTATTATCTGTCTTTTCTTCAAAGCAAAGGACTAGTCCTGGTCAGGGGAACCTCAGAGAACAGCCTGCACTTGCCACAGTGCAAGGAACAGGGCAGCAGCGCAAAAGCTACGGGATCCCGGCTGTGATATCCCACCTCACTCTGACCCCTTGGTTTGGGAATCTGCAGGTCCTATCTTCACCAGTCCACTCGGACATGGAAGCAAGACAATTTACAGCGTCCTGCAGCACAAGACATACAACCTCACTTGGGAGCTCCCCCACTTCAGTTACTCACTGGCTTCACATCCAAAAGGATAGAAGACTTGGCAATAAGACCCGGTTTCTTGGCCTTCTTCTCTGCGTACTGACGCAGTCTCTCCTCCCGGACTTTGGCAGCCTCTTGGTCTTCCTCTTCATCATCACTACCAAAAAGGTCAATGTCATCATCGTCATCTTCCTCTGCAGCAGCTGGTTCGGCTTTCTTTGCCGGTGAAGCAGATGGGAGCTCCACTTTCTTGGAGGGAACACTGAATGGTTCCACTTTCTTCATTGGGGTGACGAGCATTCAAGTTTGCATTAAGGAAAAAGGGGAGAAGATTAACCTGAAGTTGAATCAGAGCAGCGCTCAGGAACAAAAGTCTACATTGCTCAAGACAGCGAACATGGCCCACACCGTGTGATTTGTGTGAAGAACCAGCTATCGGCCATCAAAAGAGGACATTTGACCAGATGAACCTTTGAACCGGCGCAGCATGGCCATGCTTATATTCCTGGAGCAAAAGCCACCACGTAGCCAAGAGCTGATCCTTCTCCTAAGGGTTCAGGATATCTAGACCGTAAGAGTCTGACTGGGACAGCAGTCGGGAATGTAACCAAGCATCTTCCCCTAACATGAGGGGGGGCCTACGCATTCTGTAGGCTTATTGCAGAGACCACCAGCACCACTGGTAGCACATCTTCCACCCTACGACAAGAGTCGGTCAAATTGGTGCCACACATTCAGCTCCCACAGAGTTTTCTCTTAAATTAAATACATTCTTACAGGGGACATTTGTTAAAAAAAAGTGTTGCCAATTCTGCTTATCTATTGTAATGAAGTGGCATCTTAACTGGTGCGTGCTATAAAATTCCATAGGCTAAATGCTAATAAGTATATATTAACTCCAAACTTCCACAGATCTGCACCAGCTCTCCCTAGCTGAAATCTCTAACGTGGCTTCTTTGCTGGCGTTAGGGCAGAACACTCCTCTCTACACCTACTTTTTGGGAAAGATGATGAGGCAGCTGCCAAAACTGCTGGAAAACCTGCAGACTCATCCTACCTATGATCATCTCTTCATCTTTAGACAGCCAGGAGACGTCGGAAATAACCTGGCACTTTGTGACTGTGAAGCATTCAAGAACAGCACTTTGCCAAGGCTCACCTGGGTTGGAGGAACCGGTGAGGGCTGGTGGGAGGTAGATGACTTTTCCAGAGCATTCAGGCGGCTTTCCAACTTGAAGATGGCCATCTGAAGGTCTGCAACAACTGTGAGAAGAAGGGGGGGGGGAAAGAACCTTATCTTGTAGGCTCCACATCAGCTCTCAAGTCAGGACAAATTTACTTCTGCTCAAAGCGAGCTTTAAAAACGCCAGTTGTTCCAGTCAGAGGGAAGCCTGCAAAGCTCTGATCGAGACACTGGCACGTGCTCACCTGGCAACAAAAGTCAGTAAGGGATACACCCCACAGAAGCAGGACCCCATCCAGTTTTGCTTTCGTGCCAGAAGATTCTCCTACTTACCACTGTGAAGGTTTTGATTTTCTACCTCCAGGTGAGAAATTCTGGAAAGGAGTTCATTTTGGTCACCAGCAGGCGCAGAAGAGGTTGTGCTTGCACTCTGCAACAAGGAAAACAGAGATGAAACCAATCTGTTCACCCACTCCCAAGCTCAGTGGTTCAGTGAAGCAAAGCAGAGTCATGCCTTGAGGGAAGAAGAAAATTTGAGAGCTAATCTAAGAACAAGGACATTTTCTCTAAAGGCTTTATAAAAAGACTATACTAGCTCTATAGAATGAAGCATGGAACGTTATCTCGAGAAATTTCAGCTGGCATTGCTGAGCAAAGGGTAAAGTCATTCTTTGCAGTCTCAGATCACAGACTGCCACTGAACACACAAAAAGTTTTGGAAGTTTCATGCTACGCCCCTTAAACGGGGCAGCTGGTCTCCTCTTACAGATTGAGGCACAGAGCACAGAAGCAACCTGCCTAATGTCACACAGCGAGTCGCTGTGAAAGCTGGAAAGAGATCCCAGCATTTCTGTACTCCCACCTTCCCCAGTCCAGCCTTTAATTCCTCTCAGAACAACTTAAGCCTACTTCAACACATCCTGAGGGAGCAATTATACTGATCCAGCTTCAAAAGTATTTAACAGCAGAAAAAAGAGCTTTTTTTTTCTTTTAAGGAGGCCCTTTTCTATAAATTGAAATCAGCAAAGGGAAAGAAAATAGCAGGCCTTCACACTTCAAGTGTCATTCATAACTGAATATAACAGTAGAGAAAATAATTTATACTCAAAATTTCAAGTGCACCCTGCACATGATTATAATGCAGTTCTTGGTTGCAGCTGACATGCTTCTGAGATCTCAGCAGTCGCTGAAGATGGAGAGAGGGGTTAGGATGAGGAATATGTGGCACACGGAAAGCAGGTCTGGGATGCATGGCCCTGGGAGACACATGGAGCAGTGCAAACTGCTCCTAGCAGGAAGGTCCTGCAGGAAGACCCTTTTCCACCCACCCAAAAAAAAGAGGTCAAAAGCACCATGAAATCAATCTCTGATACAGCCTTTGCAGTGGATGCAAGCTCAGGAACGCGAGTGCAGATCTGCAGTCCCCAGACACCAAGCTGGGACACCTAAGTACCCTGCTATAAGATCCTATTATATAGGGTGAGCTACGACCACGTGCCAAAGGACAAATGCTTCTCATCATAAGGAAGAACATCTCTCCAAGGCAGGGCTGTCCTTGCCCTACAATGTCCTCTCAAATCACACAACCAGCTCCATCCGTGCGCAGGTGACTTACAGTTGAGTGGCCTGACTGCCTCTTGTGACGGGCAGAAGGAGCTTCTTTGCTACGAGGAACTGTCTTCTGCTGCAAAGGGCAAAAGGTTTGGGGGACCTTTGGTTCAACACGGAAGATAGAAAAGGATTTCACTCATGCTGGAAGAGGCAGTTCAAGTGCAGGAAGCAAATCCGCATGCAGGACAAATCATCAAGCAACGAGATACAGCCTCACACCAACTACACACCCAACAAAGCCTGCACAGAAACATTTATCCATGAACTCTGCCATCGTCTTGTTAAACATCTCAGTGCCTGCAGAAAGGTCACGCAGCTGGGTGGCAGAACTAGACTGAGATGTCTGGAGCATCTGCGCTAACAACTCGATAAGACCCCTGCATGGGCTTCCATCCTCACACGCACCACCAGAAACAGAGGCTGCTAGCCACAGCGGGCTTATCCCACCAGACTAGCCCTAGCCTTATACACCAAGGACAAAAACTAAACCTCAGATGAACCTGGTGCCTGACCTCTTTCTGTTCTAGTTACACCATCAGGGCCAAGGTCTAAGTTAATTCAGTGAAAAGTGGATTCTGGCAATAGTCACATCCATCCCCACCCCTTGAAAAAAGCATTTTTGACTCATGATCAAACACAGGAGCTGTGTCACCTGCAAACACATACACAGCTGGGTTGGTGGTTTTTTTCCCCCCCCCAAAAGCAGCCTGCTGATTCAGCTAAGCAGCAAGCACCGCAGATATTTGGCAGTTTGAAGCCCTAGTCACGTTTTCAAGCCAAACACTGAAGCATTTCGGCAGGCTCTGTGTTTGCCCTGGCGACTGGCTATCCTGCGCATGACCGTGGATGTTCAAGACAGTGCAAGACAGCTACACCTATTTGGTGCTGCAGAACAGCCCGCTTTTAAACCCCGGCTTTTAGCTTTAGTGGAAGCATTTGCTGCAGAACCCAGCTGTGCCTCCACATTTCTCTTTCCTGTTAATAACAACTCCCTCAAAAATGAGAAATCTAAATTGAGGCAGTACCATCTACCTTGACACTTGTCAGCTGCCATCCTGGAGTCTCACACGGAATAGGTCAGCACTGCTCCTCCCTACAGTCCCCCAGGAAAAATATCTACAGCTTGGCAGGAGGCCTCCAGCTCAAGCCAAACCTGCCAGCCTTGTGTGGTTGTGTCATTTAGGGGAAGAGTTTGAGAAAATCACGGCCATTTTCCCCCAAAACGCTGTAGCTATGGTGAGCAAGAGCAAGGTGAGAGGACTTTGAAACGCTCTGCTCTGCATGAAGCAGTTCTCAACAAGGAAGAGCATGGAGGAAAAAAAAAAAAAAAAAAAGACATTTCGTTATTTCAACAGACCTTTTGAGTAGTATAAAATATCAGGATACAAACCTAGCTGTACATTGCTGCCAGGTGCTGTCTGTAAAGCTTTGTGTAGCACCCAGGGAATTGCACAGAGCTCCACCAATGCACAAATTCCTTCCCTTTTCACCCTTCCTTTGCCAGCTTACATTGAGCCTGCAGGTGAGACGACATTAAGGTTGCAAATACAGATAATGAAGCCGAGAAGAGAGTCAGCATTCTCAGTGGGGCATTTAAGTATGTGCCTGCCCATCAGTATGCGGTCATACAGGTAGCACAGGCGCTCCAGGAGCTGAAGTGCAGATATCTGGGTGGCTCCGTGGGGAGCCGTCTCCCCTCCGGGATTTCTCAGCTGCAAGTTGCTACTGAGGTCTCTGCAGAAATGGCAAGGTTGATTAACAACCTGGATGCACCTACAGGTTAAACACCCACAAAATTCATGCGAATAGTTCAGTATCGTGCAGCTGGATGAAAGGATTCAGCATATTACATATGCTAAGCTATTCCTAAACCAGGATTCGCTTGCTCCTCCGTACTGTATTCTTCAGGCCTGCTTAAAAGGGAGGTTTGCAACACAAAGGGGAAGGGAGCTCGCAGACGTGGCACAGCAAAGCATTTAAATCAACACCCCGTGGAATTCAGACATTTGTTAGTCCTGGGCAGCCCCAGGGCAAGGTGAGCCTGAGCACAGCCACCTTTTGCTGGCAAGAAGAGAGGGTTGCCTTCCCCAAGCTCAAATAAACAAGAGATTAAAGGTCTTTCACAAACCAGGCCAGCCGTCCTTTGGGAACCTGTAACCTGTGCAAAGCATGGCATAAGTGGCACAATGCTCAACCAAGTTCCCAATTCTAGGAGGTGGTCAAGCCACACTTTCCAAAATGGTGGAAAAGTTGCCTTTATGAGACTGTGGGCATTCCCCTGAGGTGAGGATTTTTCAAGCTTTTAGAGATGTGGTCACCAACCTAAGCTACACACTACCTACAGCGTGTTTTTTCCACTGCACAACCAAGCACTACTTCCTCTTCTGACTCAACTGTGCCAAGAGGAAGCTTGACACAAGTGTTTGTGAATTTTATCAAGGACAGTAATCCAAAATCCCAAAGGTGTTCCAGAGCATCACTTTAGTCACTTCCTGTGCATTGTCTCATGGTCAGAGCTCTTAAAACCTTTGTTTTTTCTAAACTTAAGCCTCAGGTTTTGTGCTAAACCCACATTAGTGATACACTGACCAGTGCTGCAACCTTTTCAAAATACTTTGCATAGCAGCAGCACTCAGCAAGCCTGGAACCACACCAAGGACTGCATATATATGTAATCATCCAAGTATTAAAACATTAAAACCCCGGGACTTCTTGCTTAGGAAGGGTAGAAAGTAGAATCTAGCCTGAGCCTCAAAAGGCTTTCAACATCTGTCCCTCCCTAAAGCTTGACTAAAACATACTTGAAAAATCAGAGATAAGAATACTGACTAATGAAGAAAAAAATTGGCAAAGGTTACGCTTCTCCATATCAGCTGAAAGAAATCTGCCTGGACAACTACATGTAAAAATCTCTTCTCTGGGTATGTCAGGCCCAACCAATGGACACAGCTGGAAAGCTGGCACTTCCCTCACTACAAGAAGTATCTGGAGTTATCGACCCTCTTCCCTTGATTTGAATTAACCAGTTACAAAGAACAGCATGCAGATTTTACAAGCGTGGTTACAGATGTGATGCGTAGATTTTCCAGTCCAGAGCTCGCAAAGCACTCAGAGCTTCATCCGAAAAACAAACCTATGTTGTGCATGAAGAGATACAACACCCTTCCCCTCAGGTCAGTCTACCTTGAGCTCTGGAAACATGGAAAGTTTAGCCACGGTCCAATACACAAAACTGAACTGTGGGGAAATGATGTTGAAGAACTACAAGAGGCTTTCCCCCACCTAAGAGCAGCAGGACAGATCCTGGCTGACTTCCTACAGAAGTTGTGACCATTCCCTGCACACAGATGTGTTTCGGAACGTGGTCTCCAAACACTTAAGCAAGATCAGAGGTTTTCTGGGAGCTTTTCTTGTTTGAAATGCATACACAGGAAATGCACAAATACAGAGGTTTTGTAAGAGGAAGCTTGGGCAGAGAGGGGAATAACAGAGCTTTAGACTCCCACAGCAGCCGCCTAACCCAGTGACATCCATTTCATTACAGCCCCCGGGGACGGTGTAGGAAGTGAGAGTTCCGTCACCCACTCTGTTGGACTTGCTTATGATCTCAGGCAAGTCAATCCTTTCCGTGCCTCGGGTCCCCAGCTGTAAGATCTCTCACCACCTGCGGTCTCAATGCCACCAGCTGCAGTACTGCACGTACTTTATATCTAGGAACAACTTTACATCTAGGAAAGCATTAGCAATCGAGCAGATATCAACCGGAGAGATTGTTTAAAGCAGAGATGACCATGCAAAGCAGGATGAAAGGTATGTGCAAACAAATGTTTCCAACATCAGAGCTTTGTACCCTCCTTCGGGAGGTACAAATCACTGCCTCAACCCTCTAATGTTCATTCACACATTTCAGAACACCACTACCCAGCTGAAGCAGATTTGAAAACAGTCCTGGCTGAATTTCACAGCAAAAGGAAGGCACTAATCTTCCATCTTCCCATCTTATAAAAAACAATTCTTCACTTGCTACATCTTTAGACTCCTGACAATAACTCTGCATGTTCAGGTGGAAGGAAAGACTAAATCCTGACTATAAAAACATGATTCGCTATTGTTCTGTAGATCAGACAGTATAAATTTGGCTTTCTGAAACATAAAAACAAAGTTTAAGCACGTTTTAAAGTCAAGCCTGCTCTATGGCACAGCTCTCCGAGGTCAGTGATGATCCTTCAGAAATGCAAGCTACAAAAGCTGATCTTTCAGACTTGTTTCTCAACAGCTCAGTCTTTCTAACTCACACATTAACGCAGAAGATCCAACTGTGGTTGACCGCTTCAGGTTCCAGGCTGGAGATGTGGCAGTGTGTGGAAAAAAACTGAAAAAGTGAGCTCTCTCCAGGGTATTGTATAAGCCAGGGTAAGGCATGATCAGTAAAACAGGATTACAAAATGGTAAGGAGGACACTGTTGCCATGTGCTCTGCTCATCCAAGCAACCATACACTTTGAGAGCAGAATGGCAGCGATAGGTTAAGTTACTACGGCATGCCCCTGACAGCAATGCAGATTAGGGTGCACGATGCTTTCCCTAATAGTCATGCAGTAACACAATGCTTTTCCTTCAAGCCTTCACTGGAAGAGTCTCAGTCCACTTTTTGCACTACCCCAGATTCCAGTTTTAAGGCCCTATGGCTCAGTGCTTACCCTAAATCCTCAAGCCCACCAAGCTTTCTTCACAGGAAGGAAAAAAAAAAATCCAGCAGATTAATTTTTTTATATACAGCACTAACCCCAACAAGTGCCACAGCGGTGCAAAGGATTTTATATTTTCAATTTTCCATTCTGGTGCTTTTCCAGTTCTCCCAATCTTCCCCGTGACAGGACCTGGACAATCCAAACTTACGTGTTTCTCACATAAAGCAGCTCTCTAACAGGAGTCACAGGCCAGAGCAAGAAATTCTTCATCTTTGGCAAACTACAGATCATTCAGCAAGATGAGAATATGCCTTCAGGGTAGACCAGCAGCACTGCCAGGTGATTTGCATATAGATTTTCTGCCCCTACTCATCATTTCCAGTCTCTGCTCCTGAAGGAGGCAGGTCTTGGAGGAAGCAGCTCATGCTAGACCTTGCCCAGTTTGAAAAGGTCTTTCCAAAGTCATTTAACACTGTGCAAAAAAAGTTTTCCAACCCTGTCTGGGATGGGGGCTCATTTCCCCACGTATTTGCATTACTGAAGTTCAAACTAAAAGTCTTTAACAGGGGCTGATAGTCTCTACTGAAAGCCCAAACATGTTATTTCAGATCTGAGCTTAAATGAGCCACTTCAGGAAAATCTTCCCTAAGCTGTTGGCTGAAATACTGACACTGAAGCAAGAAACTAGCATTAGAAAACTTCCAAGTATTTTCCTCCTCAGCATGTTTTGGTTTGGTTTTGATATTCCTAAGATGTCCCAACTTCCCATGGATTCCCATGCTGTATTCAGGACCACTGAATCTAACCAAAGCACTATGCTTTCATCAAATTTGCCCTGCTCTTCCAGCATCCACTTCCAAGTTTCCAGTGCAGTACTGAGTACCTTGGATCGCTCACATGAGCAGTTGCAGAAGTTGCTTTTTGTAGTGTCAAGTTCAACAGGCACAGTGAGATCACCAGCGGGAAAGCAATTAGCAATTAGCCTAATTCCTTCGCATTCACCCCAAATGTATGGCTCCTTTCTGCTTGTGTTAAGGAGGAATATGAAATATTCCCCTTGAGAAAGGCTCAATTCCCTGTTATTGTACTGATCTAGATAGAAACCGAGGGTGTTAAATACCCCAAGAGGGAGTTATGAGGCCAAATCAATATAGATAAAGGATGGATACCCTCAAGATGGAAGGCATGTGCAGGTACATAGTAATCCCACTGCAGAGGTAAGAAATCAAGACACATCTGTGAATTTTCTTCACTCATGAAACCAGTCCACTTATTAGTTTAAGAACTCAGCTTCCTATTGAAAAATTAAGAGATTTAACAGTGCTGTCTGTACATACCAGCACAAAAACACCTCCAGAAAGGATGTGACTGAACTTCTACAGGATGGTCCAGACTTAGAGCTAGTAGCCAAGCTGAATTCCCTAGATGCAGCAGATGGAAGATAGCATTTTTTTGCACATACCCTAACTGAAAGCAAAGCAGGAAAGAGAAGGTGGCAGCCCAGTGTACCCCAAGAGAGACACACATACTCCTGCTGGCAACTCAGCGCTTCGCTACTCAACAAGGTTATTTTAACAGTGACTTGTAACTTGTTAGATAAGACTTGTGGGAACAAACTCTAGCATTCCACCAGGAGAAAAAGTAAAGAAATGCACAGCTGGGAGACTTTCAACCCAAATCCAGTTAGTTTTAAAAAGCACTGCAGGCTAGCAAGCAGGTAAGCAGCATGCACTCTAGTAGCAACGGTGCTCTTGATCGGATGGAGCTATGCTGGTGGTACACAGCGCTGCACACCTTAGTCTTCTCCTCTAACTTAAAAATAAGAAGCCACCCAATCTGTGAAGTGGTCACAGCGGAGTTCTGTGAGATGCACCACAGCTAAAAATGGTTGCAGGTAGCCAGCTGGTGAGAGAGCTTGGGTACTCACTCCGGCCAGCGATTTCTGGATATTCTCCCTGGCTCTGGCAATGTCGCGTAGGATCGTGCTGGCTCCGTTCTCCTGCAAACAGTGCAGAAAGAACCAAAATTTTTTTTAAAAAAAATATGAAACATGGGAAACTACTCAGGGAAGTTAAAAAAAAAAGAGGGTAAGAGTAGGGGAGGGTTCCTTCCAATGATTCAGCAAGTATTGCAAAATTAGCTGCAAGGAGGATTGATTCTAAATCAAGGAGCACCAACTGCAATCCCTGGTCACACCAGGCCACGTTTCCAGAAGATCATCCAGTCAAGAGCTTTTAAATTCACTATTATTACCCTGAACGATTTGGACAGCTGCCAGCCAGGCAGAAGGGTTGGAGTCACTTCAGTACTCCTTAGAGATCTACGGTTAGGCAGCTCTTTGTCGTGGTATTACCTGTCATTGTATTCAGGCAAGAAGCGACAGCCTTAACTGAACTCTTCTATCCAGAGAGATATGACCCAGAGTACGGCAGCACAAGTTTTTTTTCCCCTCCATGCTCCTGCTGCCATGCCTTAGCCTGGATTTGAAGATTCCCTTCCTAAGGCACAAATTCAGTTTCCATGATCCATTCGCTCCTTGCCTCTCCCAGACTGCAACCCCACAAGCAAGATCTGAGACACGAAACTGCCCACAAGCCAAGGTTTTAAGGAACACGGATCTTTTTCCTTGGCAGAGAAGTGGCTGATAAACTGCTGCAGAGTCTCCTCCAGAGCCTTCACACCCCACCTCTCACAAGCAGAACTTCTTCACTGGAAGCTCCTTATGTGGCATGAAATAGTCTAACTGTTCTTCTAAAAGTGCAAACCTCTCCAGTGCTCTAAGACCTACTTCAAGTGCTTATCTATAGCTTCTAATTTTTATGCACGTGTCCTAGGTGCTGTGGCACCACTATACTAGCACGGGCAGCGGGAACAGACAGAGCGTGCCTAGAAGCTATTACTTAAGCAAAAAGCTTCCCTTTAAACACTTGCAAGACAGTCATTTAGAACTCTAAGCAGCTTTCTACATAACCAACCAAATGCATAAGCAGTTAACAGCTCTTTACATGGCAGGAAGAGGTTACAACAGCTCTTTATCTTTAAATAGTAATCATTCGGGGCTAATATTTAAGCTTGAACTACTTCAGCTCAGGTGTGCTGCAGCAGCACCATGCTTCCCTTCCTCCTGCTCTCCCCAACTCACCAGTACTGTGATGCAGTCTTCTGCAGGGGCACACTGAATATTTCCAGGGGTACAAAGAGAGGAATGTAATTCCTGGTCTCTTTGGAGCCACAGTGCCTCTCTTCAAACATCAGGCATCTCATATATACCCAGTATATCCCCTGCCAAGGAAAGCTTAGCTGCTCCAAAACCGCAGCAAAACAGCGTCTTCCCTGGCTGAATGGGGACAAGTCAATTCTTCGCCCAGCGTACCGTCCAGCCCAGTCAACACAACCGCAGCTCTCGGGGCTCACAGCTCAAACCGTGTCCCTGTTAGATCACAGACAGCATTCGTGCCCTGCCATAGCAGCCTGAAAAGAGTAACTGCTGCAACCTATAACCAGTTCGTCTGTTGTTACAAGGGTGTTCTGATCTCCCAGTATACTGGTCGTAAGGGAAAAATTCTTCACCGTCCACCTAAGATGGTCTTTCAAAAGACAAAAGGGGTCATAACTGGCGGTAGGTTTAGAGAGCTCCAGAGAAGACGCTCACACTTGGAAAAAGCAGCACCCAGAGTGGAAATAATACAGAAGTGCACGTCCAGGTGGATCATGTCACCTTTCGCCTGCTCTGTACTAGCTCTTAAAGCTCCAGCGCTCTGCTAAACCCCATCTGAGAACAAGCATTACCTGCTGGTGTGAAGAGCTGCTAACTGGCCCATTCATCTGCTCGTAGTATCTTCTCTCAGCATCGTCATACTTGTATTTCTCAAACCAGATCTTCTCATGCAAAAAGTAGTCGACTGCCATTTTTCTGCAGAAAGGAAAAAAAAAAACCAAACCCAAAGTAAGTTCCTAGAAGTACGTAAGGTTAGCAGCTTGCAATGAGCTTGTCAGAAGATTGTTTTCTTTCCCCATAGAGCTGTGCCTGCAGCTCTCTGCCTGGCGGTTTCCACTCCAGTGGAAAGCTTTATGTAAATAGGATCCTATTAAGAAAGCAGGGCAGTCTAATCACCCGCCCGTCTGCCTGGCCTGACCTGCATTTAGTGACAGAACACCAAATGGGGACAGAATAAATCAGCTGATCTGTACCTTCTTCCCCAAAAAAGCTTTCAGAGCAGGATTTGCTAATCACACATGGGAACCCGCTGCTAAGAAAGATGTCTTGCGTATAAGAGTCAAAAAGGGAATAATGCTTTTAATTCTTAAGACTCCTGGCCACGGTGAAACCAGAAAGACTGAAAAACACACAGCTCTGAGCAGCATGTGCCACGCTACAGCATGCCAACGAGGGAGCACGCTGTACATGACAGGCAACTCCTGACACCACAGCTCACAAATTTAAACACTTTTCAGCCTTCCTTGAACACGACTCAACTGTGTTGACAGCAACTGTTGGCTGTCTTAGGCTAGTACGTGTCTCTACCTGGTCACGCCGTGCACCACCGAATCCTCCTATAAGGAACAGCCTGGCACCGCATACCGCCTGACACCAACCAGCCTCCAGGAATCCAGATACACACACAATTTACAACAGCCCCACAGGTAACTGCACACATGCCCTTTTGGAAGCTGCTACAACTGTTTAGAAATTAAAATCATCAGCAATGCCAACACTTGCAAGGGACAGACACCCGTCACTACACGGAGGAACAGCATAAAACATCCTAACACTGCTGTGAAAGGGTGTTATTTTTCTTCAATGCAGCAGCTTCCAAAGATTGTTTAATTTCTTAACTTGAAGGCAAATGAGTGAGCCCTTGCAACAGTAAGAGAAGAGTATGTGCCCTTATTTCAAGCTAAAGGACAACTACAGAGCCAACATCCGTTTGAGGAGGTGGTGAGAGCAGGGATAGAGCATCACAACGAAACAACACCATTAACCACGTTCCACCACACAGTGCAGAGAGAGCAACTAAAGGCAACCCACAAACCCTTGCCTTATCAGCTCAAAACCCCGCGGCTCTCCAGCAAAACATTTCCACAGAAGCCAACAGATGAGTCTTCTGTAAAGCAAGCACCCTTCTCATCTACCCATTCAGAAGAGACCAGAGGCCACCATACCATACAGGTCCTCTACGTCAAAGCTATTCTCAGCACTCAACCCTCCAAGACCCTGCTTGAGCTGCCAACCAGTATCACTAATACAGAATCCCAGTTACAGACAAACTTATACCACATATTTTACGATGCATGGACTTTCCTAGGGAAGGGTGAAAGGCATGACCAAATATCTAGTTCTGTCCAACTAAAGAGAAAATTATCCCAAACAGGACAGCGTGAAAGGCACACGTGCTCTAAAGTTTGTCAGTAACCCCCTGTATCACTTGACGTAAAGATCTTAAAACTTTCCAACAAATCCTAAGAAACTCAAGGATCAAAAGTGTCAGAAATAAGGACTGATGCTCCAAGAGCCTTTTTTCCAAGAACATCAGTCACTGCAAGATAACATCTAAGCACTGGCCTTCGGACAGGCTCACAGGGCATAAAAGCCCTCCATGCAGCAGACTTCAGGCAGTCATATATAAAAGCACATTTTTAACACAGAAAGCACGGTATCATACTGCACCTCATCCAGGACTTAAAAAGAAGCCTTCAAGTGTTTGTCTGTAAGCTGATTTATAACTACAAGTTACAACTACAAAGATAATCTACAATTTGAGAATGCGCTCTTCCTGCCCAGCTACCTACACGCACATCAAACGAGCTGTAATCCAGCTAGCCCTACCCCAAAATTAAGAGCAGCTTCCAGACCAAACAGTTTAACAAATTAGAGAGGCAACGAAGCAAATACAGCACATGCTCAGAGTGATGCCCTAAATTTTATTTCAGTCATCCCCAAGCCTTCTTCAAGCTGGATGCTGGTAATGATGCTCAAATGTAGCCATGTCGTGCCCAGAGCTCAATGACCAGCCTACGTGGTCTGCAGGAGAATTGGGGATAACTGCTTCTCTGAAGGATTTTGTGGCATTTTAACAGCAATACACAGCAAATAACCACCGCTTCAATTTCTCAAATTCAAAGACGAAACACTGCATCCTCTGCAGTCTCAGCAGGCCTGTTTAAAACACGCGATTACGCCCTCCAACTTCTCACTTTTATGGCTTTTTGTATGTAGTAGGAATACAGAAAGGGGCATGGCCCTGGGCTTTCCCCCATGTAAAGAGAGGGTCAAACCTTAGCTCACTTACCAGCCCTGACTTTAAATGCTTAACCTCTGGTACCACACAAATACCACCTTTAGCCACCAGCCTTCATCAGAAGGGGGTTTCTTGAAGGAGTTTCCCCCAGTTACCCTGCCCACAAAATGGCTCCCTGACTCAGGAGCAGCATCCCCCTACAGCTGCATGCACACTCAGTCCTGCAGACACAAAGGAACACCCGTCTTCTACACATGCAAATTTTTTCAGCTCAGTCCTGACCCAGCGGTTTTGCATGTGTGAGTGTTACCCCAAAATAAACTTCTCCTACTTCGTTTCTGGTGCAGGTACACTTGAAGCATAAGCAGCCGGTTGGGAGGGTTTTACTACCGCGGATTCCTGCATCCCCGTACTCTCTTCTGCTCTTGACATTTTCAGAGCCTCGGCTGCATAGTATCGTGACTCGGCACTGTCATATGTCAGCTTATTAAGCCACACGGTTTCACTGTCCTCATGTAGAAAAAAGCAGGTAGGTGAAGGTTGCTCAGCATCACTGGGAAGCAGAGAGTTGGTGGCAATCTCCACGTGTTTGACGCCCGCTTGCTGTCCAGCGCTGTGGTTCTTCCTGTCCTCATGGTTCTTCAAGGCTTCGGGGCAGCCGCGTTGCTGCTGTCTGACTTTGCCCGATGGATGGCCATCAAACATGTTCTCGTAGAAGCTCTTCTCAGCATCATCATAGAGAGGTTTCTCTAACCACACCTCTGACATGAGAGCCTGCAAACTGGAAATCTGTGGCTTACCATTTACTGTCTGGTGTACAGAGTCAGACAAACTGGTAACGACGGAAGAAGCAGAATCAGCAACAATGTCTGGAGCTAAGCTTGGCGTAGCAGGAGTAGGCAGGGCTGTAACATAGCCCTCATCCGGCGTTCTCAGCCCAGCATTGCCAGCATTTGAGCACACAGATGGGATGGTTAGGACATTTGGAGGAACAAAGAACTGAGATTTTTCAATAAACACCTCCTCGGCTTTATCAAAGTCAAATTTGTTGACCCAGACATCCTGAACAACATGGTGACACGCAGACAGACTACCATGGGAGCAGGACAGGGCTGCTGAAAGCATCCTTGGCTTAGGAACATCTTGGACAGCTTTCGACCTGGCTACTAAAGGGGACTGCTCAGCAGTTAGTGCAGTCTCGGGTGCCTCCTCGTTCTGACAATCCACTATTTTTTTCCTGTACACATTCTCAGCATGATCATAGAAAGGCTTGTCAAACCACACATGGTCAGCTAACAAACCAGTCAAAACAGAGTCTAACTTGGAGGCCACATTTTTGGGTTTTGGAGAACGCTTCCGTTTCCTTTGTTTCTTTCCATTCCTCGCTCTCTTCAGGTCTCCCTTGAATTCACTTTCAACAGAGTCGTCATTGCAGACTCCGTTCACAGCCTCTACCTCCTGGCACTCCTCAGGGGCCGCAGCAGCTAGCATCGCTTCTCTTTCGTAATGCAGTCTCTCTGCTTCATCATATTTGTGCTTGTCTACCCACACTTTTTCTACTGGGCAGGGAGGTTTCCTTGTCCTCATCTTCCAAAGAGTGGCAGCATTAAAAGATAAGCACAACAATGTAGTTGCAGCAAAACTAAGTAAAGCAAGGGCATGCATCAGACTTTAGTAATTTTTAATACAAGAGTGTCAAAAGCTATCATGCTATTATTATTCATGGTAAAGAGCCTAAGCATTTAGTTTGATTTTTCTTTTGTTATATGTTTTAATTCAAAAGAAATTAAACTGCCTGAGCACGTCCAGTTTCTGAAGTCAAGATAACCTTCCTCCTAAAATACTTCTGCTGTCTGACAAGTATTCTGCACATTTCTATTTAAAAATAAAGGCACTGGCTGAAAACACTTTGAATTTCACTTTTGAAGACAACCAGCAGGAAAAAACCGACAAGGTTTTGTTCAAATTCCTGGTAATGTATAAGATAGTCTTCCAAGTTAGTAGATTAGTCCTTAATTACGTGTTTGGTATTCTCAGCTAGGCACTGTTTTGGGAAGACAGGCTAAAGAAAGATGCCCCAATTCTTGCATATCTTTAGAGGTCATTTACACCTATTTGTGTTTTGCTACTAGAAAGCCAGCAGAGGGAGCTGACTGAAAAACTATGACTCACTTTTGGTTTAAAATCCCAGTTACTGGCAAATTGAAATTGACCAAGAGCTGGAGATTTCATGATTAATTTAGCTTACAAAAAAAATCTTCTACCAAAATGAAAAATACTACATCTGCATTGTGTTTTCCTACCCTCATCATACTTTACTAGAGGGGAAAAAAAATCAAGGACCTCCTAGTATGTGCAGATTATTGGAAATGCTATAGGAAATACCTTTCCAAGTACAGAATTTACTGTACTGCTCAAATATCTAATGAGTAGGTAGCTACCTCTCTGCCAAACTTTACATGGTCAGATCCCTAGAGTTAAAAAAAAAAAGGTCCCAAATGAAGTACCTGTAAGCCAGCTCTCTCTTTAGCTACCAAGAGCTGCAAGGTTTATAGCTACAAATTTATCTGTGACGGGTCGCCAAATAAAATTCACAAACAGCTAAAATATTCCCCAGCAGCTGCAAAGTTTATAGCTACAAATTTATCTGTGACAGGTCGCCAAATAAAATTCACAAACA